GAGCGCGCAGTGCGGCTCCGGCGAGGCTGTCTCTTCCTGTGCTCCGCTTGGGGACCATAATCTCCTGCTCCTCGCGGAACGGGAAATCAGCATTAGCTTTGCGAGGCGCTCAGGGTAGAGGCTGCCTCGGAGAGGCCTATCGTGCCCGTTGATGAGTGCGGCTGGAACCGAGGAAAGGCCCCGCAGGTGGGGAATGCCCAGAGAACTGGCCCGTGCCCCCACGTGGTCACTGGCTTTCCCAGGAACGGGGCATGACTCCTCCCTCAGCTCCTCCCAGTGGCTGCAGGGAAACCACGCCCGGCCTTTGCCCCTCCCTGTGGTCTAGAGGAGCCAGCAGTGGGCCGAGGCTGGGGGACCGGCTGCCCTCCCCAGAGCTCTGTTGAGGAGAAGCGGTGCGAGGCAGGGGGGCTGGGAGACCCGTGTGGACGCCAGTGCACGTGTGGACTCTTTTTCCAATAGAGGATTGAGGCAGATTCTGGGCCACGTCCCAAATCTCGAGCTTCTGGCCATCGCCCTCTTCGTGGGTCTCAGGCAGACCCGCGACCTTGACTTGACCAGGAGCCAGAGGCGGCCTGTTTTGACAGGTTGGTCACATCCTGTGGTCGCATACGTAGGTTTGGTAAAACAGGACTCTTGTGGATCCGTTAGGACCTCACGAACATGAGCTCTCTGGCGTGAAGCATGGTCAGCATACCCACAGGGCACCGGGCAGTTCTGCATCACTCACCCCTGCAGGGAGAGGGCAAGGAGGGCCGGGTGCAAAGGGGAGTCCTGGGCCTGCGTTCCAGACCGGCCCCTCTCCCTCTCCAGCACCTGCGAACTCAGAGCTTCACACGCAGCCACCACCAGCCCAGCGGCTGGCCACCACCGCCGTCCTCCCCAGACACACAGCCGCCCTCACCCCACCTAGACTTCCCGCACACCACACAGCCTTCGGCCCGAGTCTCTTGGCCTCACACGGCTTCTGTGTTTACCCAGCACTGAGACAGGAGCCGCTTGCTGCTCTGTATTAAAGTCTGTGTGAAGTTCTACGGTCCTCCACGTGGGCAAAAGCTCCGAGGGAGCTTAACGTTTCATAAACATTTCAACCATCGCGCTTCCCCGCGCCCCACTTTTGAATTCACAAAGCAGAGTGGGGGCCACAATTTCTCGCAGTGGCCCACCCCTCCTGCTGTCTGAACCAAACACTCCACGCAGGCGCACAGCCGTCTTAGGATAGGGAGAAGGGTGAGCCAAAATATTAAAAATAGAAACCAAACCTGACCCTCCAACACCGAACACCTCTCAGAGCGGCTCCCACCCTCAGGTCACGATGACAGAAAAGGTGCTTTTCCCAAGAGCCCCAAAGCACGGCACCTTCACGCAGGTGCAGAGGACCCACTGGCTCTGACCAGTGACAGAAGGTGACCTGCGCCGTTCTGCAGGGTGTGGGGAAGAATGGGTAGACAGGGCTGGAGTACATTTCTGCTTGAAGTGGAGGGCTTACGACGGCATCTGCAGGAAAGCTCCCCTCTTAGAGGGTGGGAAATGCAGTGCAGGAAATACTCCCTGGGGACCTGCCTGAGCTCACGGGCACCAGGCGCACCCAGGGGTTTAGCAAGGGTATAATTATGTCCCGGGAGAACAAAACACAAGTGGTTCCCAGCGCCCCGTAGCCAGCCCTGCTCTTCACCACGAGCTGTTCCAGAACCCACACCTGGCAGTGAGCAACTCTCCCGTGATGACAGTGTGAGCTGTGCTTTCTTTCTAGGCAGCCAGTGGCTCGGATTGGCCCAAGCGAATTGCCGCAGTCACCCTTAAATAGCAGTCAGCTACTTCTATTGTGAAACAGAGTATCTTTCTCTGAGCTCTACAGTGTGGATGTAAAGATCCCATATAAAGTGATTTTATGAAGAGTTATTTTATAAAGTAAATCTAAATCCCATAAAATCTACGACTCTGCAGTACCATATGTTTAATGTATACAAATGAGTATTTTAGATACAAAAAAGGATCTTTAATTGATTTGAAGTAACTTAATGTCATTATATATAGGTGTGTGTGTGTGTGTGTGTGTGTGTGTGTGTGTGTATAGGCTGTAGGGAGTGGGAGTGTATACTTGCTGGAGAGAGACAGACAGAGGGACAGAGAGAAATCATACCCCAGGGAGATGGAGATGGTCATGCCACAGTCCCTCCTCCATTCGCCTCTCAGGATTTGGGACACACATGCACGTGTGCTTGGCGTGTTTTTCAGGCTTCTGAATCTGGGCCTTGACTGAGGAGTCAGTCATGTGGGATCCAGCGCCTTAATCACCATGCCACCTGCTGGCCCCCAAAGCTTTTTAAACCAGTGCCCAGACCAGCAGATGGCATAATGGTTACAGTGCTGGATGTTTTACAGTTGACCGCGGTTCGAGTCCTGGACCCGGTGGTTTGAAACACCCTTGGGGCGATAGTTTTACTTTTTTCTTTTGAGAGGAAGATTTTTGCTATAGGATGCATGTGCTCACCAGAGAGACAGAGAAAGAGAGAAAGTGAGAAATCATCCCCCAGGAGGAATGCCACACTGTAATCCCTTCTCCATTCTCCTTTTGGGATTTTGGGCATGCCAAATGCTGGTCCCCCAATCCATTTATTTTTAATTGCCAGAGGGCACATGCACTTGTTAGAGAGGCAGAGTGGGAGGAAGAACCTCCCAGTCCGACGTGGTCACGCTGCAACCCCTCCTCCTCCATTGCTCCTGCCTTTTGGGCTTTGGGACACACATGCACAAGTGCCTGGCATACTGTCCAAACTGCCAAGGTCAGAATTCAAACCCTGTGGCCAGCCATGTAGGATCAGGCTCCCTTAAGCACTAGGCCACGGAGCCAGCCCCCATTCGTCCCGTTTTCACTGAGCACGATGCACACAGGCACTGAGGGTAAAGACATACACAGTTCCCACCTTCAGGTTGCCCTTTTTTTTTTTGAATTCTATGAACAAGAGAGACAGGAAGACTCCAACGGAGTCTTGACGCCACAATCCACCCCAACCTCCAGCCAGTCCATGTGCACCAGGGCTCGAACCAGGAGCCTTCCCAGGCGGGGCTGCCTCACAGAGCTGCATTTATCTTTGCTTTTCATCTAATGGGAGAGATGTAGCCAACAAGTAACCAATTAACGTTCAAGCGAGGATGATACTCGGCTGATCCACGGGCCAGGCTGGTCGTTAAATATTTAGATGCCATCCCCATATATAATGACAAGTTGTGATTAATACGGCCCAGGTAATGAATGTAACACTGCAATGGAGAACTGTGGGAGAAGAGTTTATAAACAAGCAAACAAAACGCAGGGTCTCGTGCCACATCTCCTGCCTTAACCTCCGAAGTCCCCGGGATTACAGCGCACGCTGCTGTGCCCAGCCTTTAGGCGGGACTGGGACTCCAACCCGGGCCCTCCGTGTGCTCCCAGCCTGTGGAGCACAGTGTTTGGCCGCGTGCGTCCTGGGGCCGGGTTGGGGGCTGTTTCCGAGGAGCTGGCACTCCACCCTAAGCATGAAGGACAGCCACCAAAGTGCCAGCGCAGTCCCGGCTTGATGTCCTTCCTCGGTTAGAAGGGTGCGGCCGTCTGAAAAGTTGAGTAAGGAAATGACAGAAACTGGCCTACAACAAAACCCGGAAGGGGCTGTATGACCGGAAGTGTGTCTCCCGTCCACGGGGGCAGTTCAGCACAGATCGGCTGAGTGCGTGGCGAGGATGTGTAGGAACCATTCATGCGTCAGATCAGGGTTTGGACTAGGTGACCCCTAAGCCTCCTTTCAAGCCTGGGATGAGCTGATTCTGGAAAACGATGAAGCTCTGTGTGAGTCTTAATTATTCATGCTGCCACCACGGTCAGGCCACCACAGCAGCTGCTCCAGAAACACGGTTGTGTTTTTTTGTTTTTGTTTTTTTTTGTAGAGGTTTTTGCTATAGGGCATGTGCGCTCGCTAGACAGACAGAGACAGACATAGAGACAGAAAGTGAGAAATCACCCCCCAGGGAGGATGGCCACCTCGCAATCACTTCTCCTCCATTCTCCTCTCGGGATCTTGGGCACGCACGCACACGCGCCCGGCGTGAGTTTAAGCCACCGGGTCTGGGACTCAAACCACGGTCGGCTACATAGGAGTCCAGCAACACAGCCATTACGCTAACTGCTGGTCCCCAGAAACACGCTTTTATGTCAACCGTTCAGATTCACACTTGGGGGTAGGAAATGCGGAGACACTGACATCTAGACCTGGCCAGCACGATCCCTTCAGTGTGTGTTACTAACCCACCCCCACACACAAGGAGCCCTCTAAAACACGGGTGTGCCCGAGCCAGCAGCTGGTGTGCTGGTTAAGGCACCGGGTCTCACGGGGCTAACTGAGCAGTTCAGTCCCCGACCTGATGGCTTGTAAATATGCCGGGCATGTATGTGTGCACGCTCGACACCCCTGGAGGGGAGCGGAGAAAGGATTGTGGTCTGGTCGTCTGCCCAGGGGCTGATTTCTCTCTCTGTCTTTTTCCAGTGAGTGCACACACCCTGTGGCCAAAAAAATCTAAAAAAAAAAAAAACAAAAACAACAAACACAACCGAAACAACAAAAACAGAGATGCAATGGGAATATTACAGCTGTCACCCAGTGCTAAAATCCTTGCCGATCTTCATTTGAGTGTATGTTCCCCAAATTCTGAAACTATGCACGTTGTTTTGTTATAAGCAAACATTAAAATGAGAAGAGGGGAATGTCCTTGCACCAATATTTAATATTTCTGTTTCCTAATTTGCAGTAATTTTGCATGACGGCCATCCTCTAAGAGCAAAAGCCTTTCCAGAAGACAGAGGCTATCTTCAGCCTACGGCAGCACCAACAGCACAGGCCCCAGCAAAACTTCTCCTGCACCCAGCGGACCAAGGGCCGGACAGCACTTTAGAAGCAAGATCGGCAGATGGTTACATCACCTCTCAAATAGCTGCCACGACCTCCAGCTCTGAGAACCCCGCGACACACACAATCCCAACTCCAGCAACTGCCCCAGGAACTGCAAAAGGCACCCCATCCACCAACCCAGTTACCCACACCCTCGTCACAACCCAGGCCTTACCCAACAGCTCACACACAACTCCAGTGACTGAAGCTACAGTAGGCCCCAGCTTAGCGCCTCACCCGCAGCCACCCACTGTCACCCCACCGGCCCACACAACAGGAAGTAGCCCGTCAACTCTCAGCTACACAACTGGGAAAACCGCCCAGCTCAGCCACCAGACTACCCCTCCGACACCACATCAAGGCGCATCCAGTCAGAAGCCTATTCAACCCACTCATGCCCTAGGAACCATGACGGCTGCACACAATGTCACCCACACAGCCTCGCCTGCCACTGCAGCTCCTGGGCCCACCCTAGCACCTCGGCCGTCATCCGCCAAGATTGGAGTTTATCAAGTTCTGAACGGAAGCAGACTCTGTATAAAAGCCGAGCTGGGGATACAGCTGATCGTTCAAGACAAGGAGGCCGTAAGTTGGGGCCACTGTCCTGTTGCACTGTTTTTTCAAAAAGTTTGACAGTGAGGGACTCCCACATGGCTGTCGGGTTTGAGTTCCAGACACAGTGGCTTGAAATTCACAATGGGTGCCTGTGCGTGTGCCCGAGATCCTGGGAGGAGAATGGGAGAGAAGGGACTGAGGCGTGGCCACCCACTGGGGAGTGATTTTTCACTTCCCCTCTCACTGTCTCTGCCTCTCTCTGGCCCTGCCCGAGGGTGAAGAGAGAGGGTACCCCAAGGGGAAGGGCGTGGATTCAGAAAGGACAGACAGATAAAAGCGGAGGTCAGGCAGACTCATCTCTGCTGGCGAATGCGAATGGGCAACCCAGAGCCATTCTGTGCGCATTCTTCTACAGGAGAGTAAAGCGCTTCAGCTCGGGGCACTGCGGTTCCGAGCAAGCCCTGCTGGCCTTCTCTGGCTGAGGCTCGGTCTGTGAAGCCCAGGAGTAGAGTATGTCTTTGTTTGGAGTTTGCCCAGGCCCTGAAGCAAGGCTGCACCCACTTTAAGGTGCTCACTGCCGCTCTCCAGCAAGTGTATGTGCCCTACGGCAAAAACCTCTAAAAAAAGTGTGAGGGCCAGCCCACGGTTGGGGATGGAGGGTGCTGGAATTCACGCGGCCAGCTCTGTTGTTTGAGTCCTGAACCCGATGGCTTGAAAAACATGCTAGGTGTGTGTGCATTTTTAAAATCCCAAGAGAAGGGATTGTGGTCTGTGGTCATCCCCCTTGGGGCACTTTCTTGTCACCTCGTCCCCTTTGGCAAGCGCAGATGTCTCACGGAGAAGAAAAGCTCTGGTGGAGTTTGTTGCTAGAAACAAACCTTCCTCTGTGGCCTGCGCCTCTGCGTCAGTAACGGCTATGGGCGTGTCACTCTCCACTTGAGGACGAGTGTGTTTCAGCACGTCGGAAAACACGCTAACGGCGACTGGAGAGAGGAAAGCCGCAGTCCAGACGTGCCCACCCCTCGCCCTCGCCCACCTGGGCAGAAGGGTGGGGAGTGCTCAGTGCTGACCGCCCTGGCCCTACCAAGCCCTGGCTCCCTCCCTGTGAAATGGGAAGTTAGTGTGCCACGAATACGGAAGGTCCAGACGAATGAGAACTCCGAGGGAGCGGGTTGCCGTTACTTTTACTAAAGGAATCACTGTACTGTAATATTCATTTTCTTGCAGTTTTTAATGACTTCAGTAAAACTTCTGCATTCAGGTTTTTTTCTTCTTTTTTGGAGAGGTTTTTTGCTCTAGGGCACATACGCTTGCCAAACAGACAGAGAGAGACAGAGAGACAGAAAGTGAGAAATCACCCCCCCAGGGGGGATGACCACACCGCAATCCCTTCTCCTCCATTCTCCTCTCGGGATCTTGGGCACGCACGCACACACGCCCGGCGTGGGTTTTAAGCCACCGGGTCCAGGACTCGAACCGAGGTCGACTATATGGGAGTCCAGCGACATAGCCATTACGCTAACTGCTGGTCCCCCCCCCATTCAGGTTTTTACTGCAGACAGGGGTACCTCTGCAAGCAAGCCCTTCTTCCTCCACAGTAGCTGTCAACATAAATTTAAATACCGCACAGCTTGTTGGAACAGCCCAGCCTGGAATTACCCTCCAGGAGCTCCTGTCTGTGAGAGCACCCCTTCAAGAAAACTTTTGAAATCGCAGTTTGGGAATGAGAGCTATCAGCCGGGGTCTTTGCAGTGCACAAGTAAACACCCCTCGCCCTACGTTTCAGGCTCCTTTCCTAGTCCCCTTGCTGGAGTTTCCATCCGCATCTCACTGAACTGATCTGTCTTATCTGCTTTAGGCTTCTTCGCCTCAGAGATACTTCAACATCGAACCCAATGCAACCCGAGCCTCTGGGAACTGTGGCTCTCGAAAATCCAACCTTCTCTTGCATTTCCAGGGCGGATTTGTGAACCTCACATTCGCCAAGGTGAGACCTGGGCTCATTTGCTTTCCCTCCTCCTCATCTGAGCACTGGTGGGGCAGTCCTACACGTACCTAGAGTCCCAGCAGCCACGGCTCTCAGAGCCTTTGGGTGGCAGCTGGGAAAAGCGAGGGTGGGGGTGGGAGGTTTGCTTCTCCCCCAGCTCTGTGTGCAGCCAAGGAAGGCCCGAGTGCCCCGTGGGGGTCCTTGGCCTCTGGGGAACCAAACCACCATGCCCTTTGCAAACCGTACGAAGGAGGAAGTTGTCCAGGTCACGGCCGCGTAGAAAGTCCCAGTGGACACCACAAAGAAACAGGCTTGGTTATTCTAAGACCAAAATCAAATGTCAGAGCAGGTCCTTTCCAACCACAGCAGGCAAAGCGGGAAACTAACCAGGCACCGGGTTTTCCAGTCCACCTTCGGGAAGACGCTGAGATCAGACGTGAACTTGACCGTGTTACTCAGTCTCCTGTGACATTGGGCAAGCAAGGGAGCCTGCTGGAGGGATTCCTCTATCCACAGAAAAAGGGGGACAGGAGTTAGAGCGAGCTGAGGCCAGCACGTGCTGCAGTGGCTGAAGCACCTGGCTCCATGCAGTTTGCATTCTGCATGCAGTGGCTTGACGTACATGCCAGGTGCATGTGTGTGCATGCATGTGCATGCCCCAAATCCCCCCAAAATAACGGACAAATGGAGGAAAAAGAATTGCAGTGTGACCATGCATGCCCCATGGGGTGCTTTCCTACTTCCACATGCTCTCTCTCTGTGCCCAGCGAGCACACGTGCCCTCTGGCAAAAGACAGAAGAATCTCGTCTAATATGTGGACACCACAGTGACTGAAATAGGCAAAGGTCTCGTGGAAGACACTGGCCATTCCACTTTCTAGGGAGAGGCTCCCCTGTTGTCCCAGAGTATCTCAAATAGACCCTCCTCCCGCCAGGGACGAGCACTGAGATGACCCCTGCCCGTGGGACGGGGCGTCATCGCCGGCTAGCTGGGGCCTCTCCCTCCACTGTAACACGGAGATGGGGCTCCGTGATGGTGCGACCCTCTGGGGGCTGACCCGGGCAGGTTTCAGGCCCACTCCCAGCACCCGAGCACACTGGGCCAGCAGAGCAGGGCTGGCTGAGGCTAGGCATGACCTCACACCCTGTGGGTGCTCTGTCTCTCTCTCTCTCGCTCGCTCATAGAAGAAATAAATCAGTAAACTTCAAAGTGGAAATAATCGCACCAGCTCGTAGGACCCCTGGGAGGTCAGAAGGGGTGTAAGTTACTATTATTGTTGGTTTTTTTTTAAAGAATTGTTTAATCAATTATTATTTAAATTGCTATAGGTCATGCACGCTTAGGGGGGGGGTGTGTGGAAAGCATGTGGCCAGGTCCGGACTCAAACCGTGGCTGGCTATGTGGGAGTCCAGCGCCCCGACCACCACGCCACCGCTGGCCGGTTACTGCTGTTACTAACTTGGCCTCAGAGGCTTTGTCCTCCTGGTGCCTACTTTGCAGAGACGCACGTGAGAATCCATGGTTTCCTTTCAGTACCACATGAGAAAGACGTGGAGGGCAGGATAAGCGTTCCAGGCCTGGGCAATCACAGTTAAAGTCACAGTTAAAGAGGCGGCAGGAATGTCTTTAAAAGTCGCCCTAGTGGGACCAGCAGTTAGCGTAATGGCTATGTTGCTGGATTCCCATGTAGTTGACTGCGGTTCAAGTCCCAGACCAGGTGGCTCAAACTCGCGCCGGGCACATGTGCATGCGTGCCCAGGATCCTGAGAGGAGAATGGAGGAGAAGGGATTGCAGCGTGGCCATCCCCCCTGGGGGGTGATTTCTCGCTTTCTGTCTCTGTCTCTCTCTGTCTTTCTGGCGAGCTCATGCACCCTATAGCAAAAACCTCTCCAAAAATAAAAAGTCGCCCTGAGAAGCACTTTGCTTTAGTCCAGGGCTCAACCCCACACTGCCCAGATGGGTCATTGCTCAGGGGGAGCAGCAGCAGCGTCCAAGCAGCGTCCGGCATGATGCCCCACTTGGGTGCTGGCAAGGCCTAGAGCTGCAGGCAGGAGCTCCTGGGGCAACTTCCGTCCTTTCTTCCTGCCACTTCCCTCTCCTGATGCTCCTTCCCTACCTTTCCCTGCCTTCCCCACCTTCCCCTGCTTTCCCCACCTTCCCCTACCTTTCTGAGGCCTTGAAGCTAGACTCTGACCAAACTCATCCCGAGCGTGGAACCCCTGTCTTTCTGAAACTCCCTTGTGCTTCCAGTTGGACTCTGTGCCCGGTGCTCAGGAAATGTGTCCATCCGGAGCTAGCAGCTTCCCAGGCCCGCTGGCCTCCCTTCCCACCCCCATCCAGGCCCCACTGTGGCATCAGCTGCTTTGCCTGAGCCTCACCAGCCCAACCCACCTTGTTCATTCCACTCCCCACACAAATTCCCCAGCAGCGGACCTCGGTCCTGGGACAGGAAGAAACCAGGGAAGCTCCTAGAAGGTAAAGTTCCCACCAGCCTTAGTCATCCTGGGGATTTTCCACATTCTGAAAGAAAGATGTCTTTACCATAGGGCGGGCACCACCACGCCCAGAAAAGTGTCTTTAAACCAAAACAGGCCATACCTTTAAGGATTACAGGGGCTGGGCTGGCAGGTGGTGTGGTGGTCAGGGCTCTAGACTTCAGCATGGCATACCACAGTTTAAGCCCCATTCCTGGTGGCTTTCTTTTTTTTTTCGGAGAGATTTTCACTGTAGGGCGCATGCGCTCGCCAGACAGACAGAGAGAGACATAGAGACAGAAAGCGAGAAATCACCCCCCAGGGGGGATGGTCACGCCTCAATCCCTTCTCCTCCATTCTCCTCTCGGGATCTTGGGCACGCACGCACACGCGCCCGACGTGAGTTTTAAGCCACCGGGTCCGGGACACGAACCGCGGTCGACTACGTGGGAGTCCAGCGACATAGCCATTACGCTAACTGCTGGTTCATATGGTGACTTGCTTTTTCACTTTCTCTCTATCGCTCTGTGTCTCTCTGGTCAAATGAAAAATGATAATAATAACAGTAAATAAAATTAAATAATTATTTTTTTAAAGAATCTTTAAAAAGAAAAAAAGATCACAGAGCCCAAGCATATAATTAAATAATTGAAGTAAGCTAGTAAAATCTTTGTTTTTTTTCCGTAAGAGAGGTTTTTGCTATAGGACATGTGCCCTCTCCAGATAGACAGAGAGAGACAGAGAGACAGAAACCAAGAAATCACTTCCCAGGAGGATGGCCACACTACAGTCCTGTCTCTATTCTCCTTTCAAGATTTTGGGCATGCATGCACTCACACGCAGCATGAGTTTTAAGTCACTGGGTTCGGGACTTGAACATGGTCGGCTGTATGGAAGTCCAGCAATGTAACTATTATGCCGCCTGCTAGTCCCAATTTTTGTATCTTGAAATAGGTAGTCCTAATTTTTTTTTCATCAAAAATGAAGAACTTCATCAAAAACTAAAGACAAGGGAACCAGCAGTTAGCGTAATGACTATGTCGCTGGACTCCCACGTAGTCGACCGCGGTTCGCATCCCGGATCCGGTGGCTTAAAACTCATGCCGGGCACGTGTGTGTGCATGCCCAAGATCCCGAGAGGAGAATGGAGGAGAAGGGATTGCCGCATGACCATCCCCCCTGGGGGGTGATTTCTCGCTTTCTGTCTCTATGTCTCTCTCTGTCTGTCTGGCGAGCGCACGCACCCTATAGTGAAAAAAACCTCTCCAAAAAAAAAATGAAAGACAAGAGGGGCCAGGAGGTGGTGTAGAGATGAGGGCACTGGGCCACCACGTGGCCAACTGCAGTTTGAGTCCCAGGCCTGACGGCTTGAAAACCACACCAGGCACGAGTACGCGTGTGCCCGAAATCCTGAGAGGAGCCTGGAGGAGAAGGAACTGAGGTGTGGCCATCCCTTCCGGCTGTGATTTCTCACCTCCTCTCTCTCTCTCTCTCTCTCTCTCTCTCTCTCCAGTGAGTGCACATGCCCTATGGAAAAACCTTAAAAAAAAAACAAAAAAAAAAAAAACAGAATAAAGACCAGGAAGATTTCCTTTTCCATATAGTTTAATAAAAAGACACTAGAGTAAGGGTAAAACGTTAGTGACTGAAAAGGCCTCAGGGCCATTCTGAGCGGCTACCCTATCGTGCCGCTTGTTAAATAATTCACATGTTACCTCCATCCGGTGGTAATGAGAGACCGGTGTTTCCAGATCATCTGATCTTTCTGCAAGAGAAAGCAATAATCCAGATTTTTAAAATAAAAGCCATGGTTTTTCATTTATGGGACAAAGAAATGGGTTAGTATCTGTTGCGGTATTGTCAACTGGACTGGTGAGAGATGTACACACATTGAAATTTTCACTGTCAGCTAAGTAACATGATTGAGTGTATAAAAGAAATTGAAATCATAATAAAAGGTTATAAAATAAAACAAAAGCCATGATTTTTAAATGTCGGCAGCACATTTTAGAACATTCGAACTCTGGGACCAGCAATTGGCGTAATGGCCATGTCGCTGGACTCCCATGTAGTCGACTGCGGTTGGAATCCTGGACCCGGTGGCTTAAACTCACACCAGGCGCATGTGCATGCGTGGCCAAGATCCCGAGAGGAGAATGGAGGAGAAGGGATTGCGGCGTGGCCATCCCCCCGGGGGGTGATTTCTCGCTTTTTGTCTCTCTGTCTCTCTCTGTCTTTCTGGTGAGCGTATGGGCCCTATAGCAAAAACTTCTCCAAAATGCAAACAAAAGAACATTCGAGCTCTGTGCTGGCCGAAAGATACACAGCTGAGGTCAGATTTGGGATGTGGACCCTTAAGTAGCAACTTCTGCCCCAATAGTTGTACTGCACGTTTGTACTTAGGCAGGAAAGCCTTCTAGATTTTTCCGAAAGGAAATAAGTTCAAAGATTCAGGCAGTCACTTTTCGAGTGTAGCTCCTCTATAAACCAGGGTTTCTTTTCTTTTTTTTTTTAACGTTTTTTT